GGAGATAGATAGCTCAGTGGCATCAGGGCCTGCCTGGCAAATGCTAGGCCTTGAGTTAGATCCCCAATACAAAAAAAAAAAAAAAAGTTTATGAAGTTTGTGAACAAATAACCTGAATTATACAGGCAATCACTTAAGTGCTCCACTGAGATAAACTGGTCCAGGGCTGGGCATGGTGATGCCTTCCTTTAATCCCAGCATTTAGGAGGCTGAAGCGGAAAGATCATTGCAAATTTGAGACCAGCCTGGGCAACAAACTGAGCTCAAGGCCAGCCTGAACTGCATGGCGAGACCCTGTCTCAAAAAAATAAAAAAGACAAAAAGAACTCCACCTAGCCAGGCACAGCAGTGTAGACCTATAACCTCAGCACTCTGAGAGGCTGAGGCAGGAGGATCATCGAGTTTGAGACCAGCCTGTGCTATAATGTGAGCTCAAGGCCAGCAGCCTGAACTGCATAGAGAGACCCCTCAAAGAGATTTAAAAAAAAAAAAAAAGCTGCAAAAGTGAAAAAAGGAACAAGGTGGAGGGTGGGGATTGTGAATTTGAAGCTAGTCTGAACAACTGGGTGAGACCTCTTGAATAAAATGTTTTCATTTAATTAATTAATTTATTTATTTATTTTTGCAGTACCAGAGATGAAACTCAGGACCTTGTGCTTGCCAGGCAAGTGCCTATTCTACTGAGCTAACTCCCCAGCCCAAGAATAAAATGTTTTCAACAGGCTGGAGATGTAGCCTAGAGGGCGTGCACACAAATGTGAGGCCCTGGGTACTTCCCCAACCCCACCTCAAATCAGTAGTAATAATAGTGCCAGGAAGTATGTTTCAGTGCTTGCCTGTGACTTGAGGCTGAGCTCTGAGGCTCAGGGCCTGGGTTTCCCTGGCAGTGGCTCCCTCAGACATCTATCTCTATTGAGAAAAAGAAACTGGCTGGGTATGGTGCACACCTGTAGTCTTAGCTCCTTGGGAGGCTGAGGCAGAAGGGTCACTGGATCCCATAGGTTCCAGACAGGCCTGGGCACACCTATATCCCCATCTCAAACAAACTGACCAGAGCAAACAGAAGTAAAGCCTGCTTTTTTGAAATCTGATGAGATTGGGGCCAGGGAGATGGCTCAGTAGAATAAGCACTTGCCTGGCAAGCACAAGAGTCTGAGTTCAATCCCTGGTTCAGCCAAAAAAGAAAAAAAGAAACTTGATGAGAATTGGGCAATGTGCCTATAAAATAATATTTAAAATATTTGTTATAGGAAATGTTTTGGATTACCTCTGGTAATTTGGGGAAAGTCATTTAACTTTTTCATAACCCAGCATCTCCATACATAAAGCACTGGCTTGGCCTAAATCTGGGGTCTGTGAGCTCTTTTTCCAAATCAAATCTTCTTGATGGAAGCCAAATCATTCTATATTCATTCATAGGCAATATATCATACTGTTTATTTATTTGTTTGTTTATTTATTTATTTATTTATTTTTGCAGAGCCGGGGATTGAACTAGGTCCTTGTGCTTGCCAGGGAAGCACTTATTCTACTGAGCCATATCCCCCAGTCCCTATCATATTGTTTTAAAAGTGTTGTTTCAAAGGGGACTAACAGTGAAAAGAAGAAACATTTGGCTTAGGATTTGCCACAGCTTCCTTTATGTAGGTGATGTTGTGCCTCTGATCTCAGTTTTTATCCCATCAGAGTAGGCTGGGTAAATTTATAATCTGTGTTGTAGAGTGCACGTGTTGAGGAAAACATTGGCTCATGACACATTTAGTAAGAGAATTAATGAATATTTTTCTAATTATCTTTCAATAAGTACATACTTTTTCCATAGGAAAGAAAGAGTTAACTCAAACTTTAGACCAGAGGACCTGTGCACGTAGCTCTGAGGGGCAGGTAACACGCTAGTTTTTGTGACTGGTTTTTCATTCTGCTCATGTGGTGGGGATGGTACCCAGGGCCTTGCCCATGCAAGGCGCATGTCCTATCACTGAGCCACACCCCAACCCATTACGGCTGATTTAAAGATTATCACCTCATGTCCAGTCTAGTTTCAAATGCACTGGGATTGCTAATGCCATTTGGCCTTTAAGGAGCGATCACTGGCAACCCTTTGATGGGTCTAGAAGCATCCAGATCCCCTGGCAGTGATGCTTCGAGTTTGAGCTACCAGGAGGCAATCTGAATGCCAGAGAATTCACAAACATCATAAACTGGCACCAAATAGGGTTTCAGGTGGGGTTGGAGAAGTCAGCGGTCTGACCAAGCACACAGGCATGTGTGAATGTTAACTCAGTACCTGTGTTTTCTGCTCGCCTGCCAGCCAGGAGAGGCCAGTGTGAGAACTTGCTGCAAGTAGCCAGTGGAACCAAGAGGCCTGGGTTCCGTGCCCACCTCTTTCATGTCCAGGCCTTGCCTGTTGTCCTGCAATGGAACTCTCTAGTCTGTAAGACAGGGATGAAGATGCATTACTTTGAAAGTACTAAAACAGTGTTATAAATGTATGAAGTATAGTTACAGGCAATGGGGCTCCAAGCCCAGGCCCACCACGTGAGAGGGGCCTTTCCCCACATTCTCCAGACCTGCACAGCCCACCTGACCTGGCACACAGCCTGCCCTGTGAGAGAGAACTTCCGCCTCACCTTGGGCCTGCTCCATATCTGACCAACCCCAGACCCTCCTGCTCCCGCCACTCCAAACCCAGACCTGTGGCATGAGAGAGGCCTTTCCCCGCATTCTCCAGACCTCCCCTGCCTGTCCAGACCCAGCACAGCCCATCCCGTGAGAACTTCTACCGCGCTCTTGGGAGTCCTGAAGACCCACCAAAGCACAGCACCGGTGAGTATGTGGGAGAGCTTCTGTGCTCTCTTGCCCCCCCATCCTCAGACCCATCCAGACCCATCCCAGACCTGGCATACAGGCTTGGGGTGAAACCCTGCAGCTAAAGTCCCTGCAGTGAGACAAGGGTCAAAACCACACAGCTAATCCAGGAACAGAACATCTTACCAGAGGGGTACAGCAGGCCCACCTCCAAGGGCAACAACAATAAGGAGCTGAGCGCAGTAGCCAGACCCAAGCCAGGCACAACTGCATGAACTAGAACTTGGTATATCAGTAACTGAATTTCATTAGGTGATAAGAATATAACTGCACCAAAGCTCTACACTAAAGGTCAGAGGTCAGTGCTATATGAAATGATAAATACAAGGAGCAAAATGGAATCTCAGGCCTTGAGTCCACCCATAACAAGTGCAGAGGACAGTAGCTCAGCTGAAATATATGAATCAATAGCATCGGAAGTAAATAAACAACAGAAGAAAGATATAGAAGAATTCAGAGCAGAATTAATTTCTGGAACAAAAAACTCTGAATTCATAGCACTGAACTAAAGAATTGAATGCAGAAACATATGGAGGAAACCCAAACCCAATGCCCACCCAGAGCAAGTGCAGTGGACACTAGCTTAGCTGAAATATATGAATTAATAGCATTGGAAGTAAATAAGCAACTGCAGAAAGTTTTAAAGGAACTCAAAGGAGAATTAAAGTCTGAAATGAAAAAAGAAATCTCTGAATTCATAGCATCTGAACTAAAGAATCAAATACAGAAACATATGGAGGGAACCCAATCTGAAAACTGCAGTAGAAGAATTATTAACTGCTTCTAAAGAAGACATTGATAAAAAAAAAAAAATACAGGAGATTAAAAAAAATGATGGATTCCTTGAATGAGCAATACAGGAAAGAAATAGATCGCATGAAGCAGAATCAAAGAGATGTAAAGGAACTTAAAATCTCAATCACAAGCCTGCAAAACCATTTGAGTGAAAGTGAACATAGTTTCAGATCTTGAAGACGCTGGTGCAGGTAGTGAAAAGGTAAGAAAAAATATCTTAAAAACACTAGCATGCAGGAAAAAATAATTTATCACCTCCAAGACGATGCAAAGATGAACAATGTAAGACTAATAGGCATCAATGAGAAAGAAGGAGTCAATACAAATGATATAAAAAGAATATGGGCAGAAGTAATAGCAGAAAACTTCCCAAATATGAGGAAACAATCTGACATTCAGGTAACCGAAGCATACAGAATACCAAATAACTTCAACCCAATTAAAAACACACCAAGACATATAATAGTCAAGATACCAGAAATCCAACACAAGAATATACTGAAAGCCGCTAGAGAAAAGAAGCAGATCACATTCAAAGGAAAACCCATCAGAATTACAGCTGACTTCT